CTGAAAAATTAATGACCTCCATGCGCTCGTTACATTAATTTCTGATATTCAAATGGCGTCAGTCTGTAATTTGACTCGGTCAATAATTAATCGCAATTTCTGTACATCGCGTGACATCGAGCTGTACATATCGTACATTTCTGGTACCGGAAGATCCATGCAAATGTTTGATAACTTGAAAGTGTCATTCCAATGATTAAGTCATGAGTAAATGGATTAATTTATTCCCCCAACATCTTCATCCTTTGTCTCATTACAATTACAAAATTATCCAATTAGAAACGCAACCTGAATTGTAGAGCTAGAGGAAAAATAAAAATTCCGCACTGAAGTCATTAAAACGGGGGAGTAATTAAAAAATCGGCTTGTCGCGTATAAATTATCAATTGTCATTATCATCTTCAATTTATTTTAATAAAAATAACTGCGTGATATCGATTGTAAATATTCCTAGATATTTTCACTCGAAACTTTTTTTCAATTCAAAAATTTTCAATTTTTTAAAATTAATTTATTATTGATTAATAAGATATCATTATTTTTATTTAAAATACCATTATTACTATTACTATTATCAATCCGATATGAACAATGATTGCATTAATAATTAATGAATTAAATGGATTAAATTCCCTTTAATTAACTAATTATCCGCTCAAATTATTTCTATCATCAATTAATTATTAATTATCAATCATTGGTTAATTAATAATATAAAAAATAAAGGCAATGGCTCGCGTATGTTTGAGTGATGAGTAAGACAGTGATTTTTCTATGATCATTTCATTAACAATTAAATGATAATGATTATGTATCTGAGTAAATAATAAGAGCACTTGGGTTCGAGGATTAGGAAAAGAGGTCATCACCCAAGAATATACGGGTTGTCCTCATTTCTGTCAGTATCTACTCCATTCTGAAACCTTGTCCTCGAATATTGGTCACCCATGCCAGGTGTCAGTTATCGATTCATTCATTTCTGTCTGATTGTTCGAAATTGTTCCCCTCCATTCGGATAAAATTATTGTCAAAGCCATTCCAAAGGGGGAATTTGTCATTACGACTGATAAATTAGACTGAATGTCGCGATAATGTCAGAGCAATGAGATATCAACATCTAGAATAATTGTGCCCTTCCGCGAGAGGATGTGGTCGCTGGTGATAAATAAATAATCAAATGTTATTCCGGAAAATTAATTTTTTACGCAAAATATGAGAACAACTCGAGTAAAAAAAAAGGAAAATTTATGGAGTTTTTAATATGAAATTTATTTATGCAAATGTATTTGCAGAGTAATTTTTAATTGTATTAGTTTTTTATTGATTTAGGGTATCCAATTAATTATTTATTTCATTAATGACAGGATGAATCTAGAAGACAAGGAGTTGTCTCTTCAATCAAGAAATATATCCGGACAATTGGATTAAGATTCAGTCGATGATTCACGGAATTATTGGCGAAGACTTATGGAAATCATGCAACTCGTACGCAATAATCTTTTGCACTTCAAGAAACGCTTGAAGAAAAGTGGAAGTTCACCTTCAAGACAAAATGAGCAAGAGTGTAGAATTGTTGTCTGGCACCGAGGACGGTGAAGCACACGGTAAAAATTGTTTAGCGATAATGAAATTATGTAATGAGCATGAATAATTGTAGGTGAAACATCAATTTATCAATTTCCTCCAGCAAATCAAAAGACGAATGCAATTAACAATTAATTATTCAAACATTTATGCAAACATTTATCCAGAGATTTATCTTCCATTTCTTCTAGACTTTATCGATACTTAATCAATTGAAAATTGATCGAATTGATTGAATTAGAAATTGACTGATAATTTTTTTAATGATTAATCATTAAATTGAAAAAAAACATTTCGTAAAAAAAAATATAAAAATTGATGAAGGGTATTGAATTAAAAATTGACAGTTCAATTTTTTAATTGATTAGCCATTGGACTGGGAAAGGAAACATTTTGTTTAAAAAAATAGAGAAATAGATCAACAATATTGATAGAATTGGTTGAATAAAAATTGACTGATCAATTTTTTATTGAAAAATCATTGAATTGAGAGAAGAAATATTTTGTTTTTCTCCTCCAGCATTCCAACTCGTTCCTTACATCACTAACAGTCAATTCAATCAATTTCCATCAATCCTCATATTGCAATTAATCAATCAATTAAAATCGCGTCGATAGCCATGGATATGCGCAGTGCCGTAATAAAGAGTTCATTCAGTCAATTCCGTCTTCACCTTGACTCCAAGCTAAAAATACTCGAATCAATGAATAATCATCATGTGAATGATGAATGAATCCTGAAATTTTTAGATCAATCAGAAAAAGCAGATAAATCCCACTTGAACCTCAACGGCAAGAGACAATTGTCGAGGAGTGCTACGGAACTCAGGGCTAATGATGATGAGACAAATCGTCCAGCATCGAGTACTGAGCATCGACGATCTCATCATCAACCTCATCCTCATCATCGACCAGTTGCATCAGTTGCCCAGAAAACTCACACATTTTTTGCCTCGTTGAAGAGTAGATGGGTAAGAGGACGGAGTAAAGAGAGAAAAAAGGGTAAAGAATCTAATCCCCAGGATTCACCTCATCGAGCTGGTGGGATTGAGTCAGATTATGCTGCTGATTACTCCTCCGAGCACAGCAGAAGCTCTTCAGCAACTCACAGTCCTGCCAGGATTATCAATCATCCAGGTACCTCATCCCCTTAAACAATCATTAGATAATTAATTATTTGTACTCCATTGATAACAGAAACATTTTCCCACAAGATTCATTCGTTCATTCTCTTGGGAGAAACTTCTGTCTTTTGTTAGAGTAATTCCCAGGGACTCTAGACAATTATCATTGATATTTATCATTATTTATAATTATTTATCACAGCTTTCGATCAATTTTTTGGGATGAGCTGCAGGAGACGATAGGGTTCCTCAATATTGAATTGAGAAAACGAAATAAGTCAGTCTTTGTGGAATATTCAGAGACTCGAGGGAAAATTTTATTGCAAAGTTTTTCCTGGACAAGGGAGAGACAGATCTCTTGATGATTCCTCGGGTTTTCTTGAGGCTTGAGGATGGGTACAGACTTGCGAGGGAGAATTGGGTTATTTCGTTTTGTTATATGCAGGGAGAAAGTTTCTTGAGGGATCCTTTAAAAACTATTTTCTCCGGTGAGAACGAAGACTGAAAAACCATGTAAACCTCAAAGAAGTCTTGCTCTACTGGATAATTCTTTTTTTATAAAGACTTTATCCATTTTCCTCTATATTCCTAGTATTTATAATTCTTCATTCATCATAAAAACGAACACAAACTCGAGAAGGAATAATATAAATCAATACCGAACATCATCTGAGAATGGGCAAAACTTTGAATGGATCAATAGAATAAAAATAAATCAGTTATTATAAACTCCTCGAAGTCTTGGTTGTCGTATGATCTCGATAATTAATATTCACTGGAATATTAATTGAATATTCAATTATCTGGAAACATCTTGTCGAATCACTGGAGGAGTGATGAAATACAGTAGGCGCACATTTTGCCAAATACCTCCGAACTGAAGGAAAATACCGATATTTTGGTTATTACCTTATCTGTAGCGCTCACCTTTCTCTACAAAAAATGTATTAACAAAAATATTGCCATCTCCCTTCGATAGCGAGATATTGGGTAAAACCTGGCCTCGATAAATATTGACTCACGCTAGTTTACCCCATCCCAACAGAGAATTCCAAAATCAGAGTTTTTACAGATGGAGTTGAACAATCCGTCGTGAGTTAATCGTTTTGAATTGATTTTGAAATTTTTATTTGAAAATTCAGGATCCCCCCTAGCACGAAGCAACAAAGACAAATCAGTGGAAGACAGTCCAGGAAGATGCAGCGATGTCTCCTCAAAAAGCAGCCACCCCAGATCACGAGAAGCAGATGCTGAAGAAGAGGCTGGTCCCTCCACTGCCCCCGAGACCGGGATAATCCATCAGGACGAGAACTCAAGACGTCGTGAAGTAGCTCTCAGACAATATGCCTTCTTCCAACTTCGTCTGCACATTCGCAAAGGCGCAAATCTCGTCGCCATGGATCGATGTGGTAACCTTTACATCCGATTAAATATACAGCAATCAGCCACTCTAAATGTCAATTGTCCATCTCATTGTGCTTTCCTTTCAAGGCGCAAGTGATCCGTACGTGAAAATCAAGTGCTCCGGTCGTTTACTACACAAATCTAGGACTGTTCATCGTGACCTTAATCCTATCTGGGATGAGAGCGTTACTTTACCCATTGAGGATCCGTTTCAACCTCTTAATATCAAGGTAACTACCTGGTTATCCATTCATTCATTGTTGAAATAATTGAGAATCCTCGATTGATTACGTTACAGACATCCTTGGAGATCCATAAAATTTCTGTCTTTCCGTCATAAATCGTCGGGATTTCAAATTATATTTTGAATTTAATTTTCCTTAACAACTGTTGATGATTGTTCATTATTCATATCGAAAATACAGGGTAATTGGATTTTTTATGGTTTATAATAATTGATTTCTTAATGAAAATTGAAATATTCAGTAGATTGAAATTTGTTTTCATCTTTTCGTTCTCACTGCATCGAATCGCCAATTGTTGTCACTCATAATTTATTTATTAATTTGTTTTATTAGCAAATTCTATAATTAAAAAACATGCAAATATTATTTTTTGCATCGCCTGATTTTTTATTGAGAGATTGAGTAAAAGTTCTGCCATGAAACTATCGATTGATACTTCACTTCGCTCGCGAATTAGATCTCGCTTGACGGTTCAACCAAGATTTGTCTTTCTTCCCAGGTATTTGATTATGACTGGGGTCTTCAAGATGACTTCATGGGTGCAGCAGTATTGGAGTTAACTCAACTGGAACTAGGACAACCACACGATATAACTCTTGAATTGAAGGATCCAGCAAGACCACGTCAGCATTTAGGAGAAATATTCCTGACAGTGACACTCTGGCCTCGCAACCAACAAGAAAAAGAGCAGGTGAGTCCTATTTACCCCCTGGTGTATCCCTTATCTCCATTACCCCAACACTCCAACTAAACCCCTCGAAATTCCCCTCAAAAATTGAATTTCGAATTGATAAACTCGTATAAATGCATTTTCTCCATTCAGTTTTCAGCCAATATCTCGGAATTGAAAATTCCCATCGAATTTTGTCATAAACATTATTTTTAGAAAAAGACGAGACCCACAAAAAAGGTCTCTATGAAAATATCACTATCTCCCTTCGATTTCGATAAATCGGCTAAATAGTCTCGAAAAAATGCGGTTGCAATTAATTGTTTACGTTTTTTTAATTCTCGGAAAATTCCACGTGGTAGTTTATCAATTACTGCGACTCGACTGAATATTTAATTAATCTATTCATCTTTAAAAATTATGAAACGCTTTCTAATGGCTTTTTTTATTACCGCAGAAATGTTTACAATTTTTTTAGTCTATGACGAACTCGAATGCTTCCCCTACCACTGACTAAATTTCAATGTCGGAATGGCAATTCCTGTCTCACTCTTTTTTCCTCCTTTCATACTCGGTCTGTCTTATCGAAACAGTGCGACATTTTACATGATCATCAAATGACCTCGAAACACTCGGACGATTGTGCGAGTCGGGAAAAAAAATGACTTGTAGAATCGAATGGGAAGTGAACGCCGAGAACAGAAAATAAAAGTGATCAAGACAAACTGCGGTCTTCAGTGAATAATAAAATTGTGGGGCCAATAGAAAAATGGGTAATGGAAGTTATTTTATTGAATTCATCGCTGGAAAAGTTTTAGTTTATGGTGATGGATTACGATAAAAAGATGAGAAGTGTAATGGTAATCGATATTTGTGGAATTCTCTGGAGTTTTTCTGGGAAACAACTCACATGTGCACAGCTGGAGGTTCTTCAGGGTTTTTATAAAATGGGAGAGCACTTTTTTTATCTTGAATCTTGATTCTCGGGTTGAAGAGATTTATTCACTTTTTTCCCTTGAGAACGAAATGGAGGATTTGTTTTTTTAATTGACAAGTGAAACAAAACATCTGGAGTTGAGAATTCTTTGGAAATTCTGAATTAAAGGAATAATTCAATTTCATAATGACTTTTTTTTTATCTGAATAAATTAAAGAGCAACTGTCATCAATTGTTTAATTATTCCCATTCAATAATCCATAATTAATCAATATTTTAATTAACATTATAATAAATTATTGTGGAGTTTTCAGTTTTAATTAATCATTTCTGAATTTCTGGATAATTTTGATCTATAATTGAATTTTATAATGACTAGATTAAATTTTTTAATTTTGTTTATCCGAATAAATTAAATCATCCGCGAATAATTAATATTTCAATGAAAAGTATAAATAAAATAATTCCGAGCTTTCTGGAGTTTTCGGAAATATTTTTTTTATTGTGACCTGAATTTATGAATAAGAATAATAATGATAAATAAATTAAAAATATAAATATTCAGATAAAAACAGAAGTGTCTGTTTGCAGTTGAAATATTTATTTTCCGTGCTTCTCTCTCCAAAAAAAACGGCGAGTGAGAAAATAGAACATGAAGACGTCTCTCGAGTCGAGAATTCTTTAATCCTCGACAAACATTTTTGACCCTGGACAATCGCAATAGAAATTCTGAAAGAAAAATGCGACACTACCCTTTCGTCACTGAACCACGAGTTTATTAGTCATTGAGTCATGAATGAGCTTGAAGATGTCAACAAAAATGACAGCGAGACCGACAAGGCAGTGACAGAGAAGCTCCACCAGAGTCCAGATGACATGAGTGACACAACATCTTCAGGGAGTTCTTCAACCAGTCCATTCAATTATTCCCGAGTGAAATATAAGAAGGATGAGGACTCAAAAGTGTTTCTAGTCAAATCCGACGATAAATCCACTTCAAAGTCATCAAGAGTCTCCACGAGAAGAGGATACACCACCTCCCGTGGGAAGAATCGAAAGTGTAAACCCTCGAAACCCGTGAGTTTATTAAGAAATTCTCTAGAGAAACGAGTTGAAGGGGTTGAAAAGATCCTGGGGGATAGGGTTGATAATTTCCTGGAGGAGACCTCCGAGAAATATCCCTGTCTCCACAGGATTGAGAGTTGGATTGCAGACAGGAAGTGCAAGAGCTCTCGAAGGAGGAGAAACGTGGGGAGACGTGGAAGTCCACCTTCTACTGGAAATAATGGAAATATTCAAGTAAAAAAGGAGAGAATCCTCGAGGAAGTGAACTGTGAGGAAGACGATGGACATGATTCTCTGCAGGCGACAAGAGAATCTCTGGAGTCTCCTGGGGAATGTGGGAAGTCATCATCGGGGAATGACCCGAGTGAGAGGAAATATGAGGCTAGGGATTCCCCGAATTTGGTGGATAGAGTCAGGGATGGAGTCAAGGAAAAAGTCGACGATATCATTAGGGTAAAATGTTGACGGATTTTAGCCCTGAAGTCCTAGAATTAATTATCTCATCCATATTATTCTTAATTAATAATTAAAAATTAATACATGTCACTGAATTTATTTGATTTCCAGAATTAAATTGTGAATTTAATGTCTTTTATTATTTGTCGTTCATCCTTTTTATTTTGCTTGCAGTATTTCCAGCGTACAAACAGACTGGCGGATGTCAATCGAAGATTAAAATCACAGATATGGAGTTCAGTAGTGACAATTGTCCTCGTCGAGGCGAAGAACCTGATTCCCATGGATATGGATGGCTCGTCAGACCCTTACGTAAAATTCAGGTATTCCATATCCTGAAATCAAGCCATTAATAATTCATTGTTTAATTAATCCAATTAATTAATTGTTGATTCATTAGTAAATAGTTTATCGTTTAATTGGCCCATTGGAATTCTTCTGATCATCTGATTCTGATTCATTAATTCTCTATTTTCTGAAAGAATGATTAATAACTCGTTTAATAGACTGGGAACCGAGAAATACAAATCGAAAGTCGTCAACAAGACGATAAATCCAGTGTGGCTGGAGCAATTCGACCTGCACCTGTACGAGGACCCATACCTGGGTCAGGAGCTAGAGGTGACAGTGTGGGATCGAGACAAAGGCCACCAGGATGACCTAATGGGGCGAACGACCATCGATCTAGCTGGTCTCGAGAGGGAAACAACTCACCGGATCTGGCGTGACCTAGAGGATGGTGCTGGCAATATTTTCCTGCTGTTAACAATCAGCGGTACCACAGCCAGTGAAACAATAAGTGATCTCGCAGCTCAGGAGGATAATCCCAAGGAGAAAGAACGACTCTTCCAGAAGTACTCCATCTGGAACAGCCTCCAGCGTCCCCGTGACGTGGGTCATCTGACAGTCAAGGTGTACCGAGCTCAAGGATTAGCAGCAGCTGATCTTGGAGGCAAGAGCGATCCCTTCTGCGTCCTGGAGCTCGTCAACTCACGTCTCCAGACGCAAACCGAATACAAAACCCTCGCCCCGAATTGGCAGAAGATCTTTACATTCAATGTCAAGGACATAAACTCAGTCCTAGAGATAACGGTTTACGATGAGGACAGAGATCACAAGGTGGAGTTCCTAGGAAAGATAGCTGTTCCATTATTGAGAATAAGAAATGGTGAGAAACGGTGGTACGCCTTGAAAGACAAGAAGCTGCGGTGCAGGGCTAAGGGTAATTCACCCCAAATTCTCCTGGAGATGACGGTTGTCTGGAATTATCTGAGGGGATGCGTCAGGACGTTGAATCCTAGGGAGCAGAAGTACATGGAGCCAGAGGTGAAGTTCAAGAGACAATTGTTCTTGCGTAATGTATTGAGACTTAAAGCTGTCATAATGTTTTTCATTGATCTTGGAAAATACATTCAGAGCTGTTGGGAGTGGGAGAGCAAAACGAGGAGCATTGTAGCACTCGTTCTATTTGTCCTTGGGTGCTATTATTTTGAGCCTTGGATGATTCCTGCAGCAGCTCTTCTCATCATCCTCAAGTATTGCCTAGTGTCTCTCCTGACTGCTGACGCTAAGTCCTTGTCTTATCACTCAGTGTCGAGCTATCAGGATGGAGATGTGAACTCTGATGATTGCCCACCGACTCCTGGGGATGACGATGAGGACGAGGATGATAAGGACAAGGAGGAGAAGAAGAGCCTCAAGGAGAGACTTCAAGCCATTCAGGAAGTCACACAGACTGTGCAAAATTCTATTGGATATATTGCTAGTTTATGTGAGAAGGTCAAGAACTTGTTTAACTTTACAGTTCCTTATTTGAGTTATTTGGCTATGGTACTGGCTGTCATGGGGGTTGTTGTCTTGTATTGTGTACCTGTTAGGTATTTGATACTCATGTGGGGGGTCAACAAGTTCTTCAGGAAAATCCTCAGGCCACATTCTGTACCCAATAATGAGGTGCTTGATCTTATCTCCAGTGTTCCTGATGATGAGGATCTACTCAGTTACAGGTCTGTTCATTCCACTTGTGTATACATTTAATTTATTTTATTTGAATATTTCACTGATTTAAAGGCTGTCAATTTTATTAAGAGAATGGAATAAAAATTTATGGATTTTATTAATTAATAATGAATTTTATAAATTCATTATTCATTTGATTTCTCTCGCAAAATAGATTTACTTCCCGTCAGTAAATCTGGTAATTGATGTATAAATTCTCTCATAAGATATATTAATATCAAATATATATTTTTTCTTGTGATTAACCAAAATATTAAAATATAGTTGAAAAGAAATTCTCAATTTAGCTCCCCATTTGTCGATGTAACTCTAAAATGGTTTATTTTTATTTTCAGGGAATTAAAGCCGATGCCAACGGCTGATTGTGAACGTGGTGCATCATCATCACCGAGTACTAGTGCCGCTGGCAGACGTGAACAGCGAAAAAAGCACAAAGGGGCGTAACGAAATGTCCCGCGGCCAGAAGTCGCGGGGAGGCGTACAAGTATCCTGAAGACGGTGCTGATGCGAGGAAAGCAACTTGCACAGCAACATTGCCGCAAGGGATCCACGGAACTTCTCCAACACCTAAAAGACTGAAAGGACTGAGTGAAAAATTCAAACGGCACGAAAAAATGTCGAACACATGAACCAGATTTCATAATTTGTTTAGAGAAAAAAAAAATATATAGTTCCGTGGTACCGAGACAAGATAATGAAAATGTTATTATTCATTCTAGTCTTTAGACCAGGGTAGACGCCGCATAACCTGTGATGGAATGTCAAATGCTATTTAATTATTTAGGGTATTTAGATTCCACTGAAATCTAGATTTGCCATTAATTTGCATTGTTAACGAGTTTTTAAAAACAGGTAAATAATCGGTAGAAGAAAAGTTGTGAAATTATGTCCTTCAGGTTTTATTTGAAATTGTTTATTAAATAATCTAAATAATATCGTTCATTTGTACTTTCAGATACAGATTTATTTGAGAAGAATATATTTATTCATCATATTAGTCTCTAATTATATAATTGTTTAAATTCAGATTTTGTTTATTTCGTGAGCTCAGGAAATCAGAAAAGTCAATAACAATCACGGATTTTTAATATAAATTCGAGAGATATATTTATCAAAATTGTTTTTATCAGTTGTTTTTCTCAGATAAAAATGTATTTTGAAAAAATAATTTTTTCTCTAGCACTCGAAGGAATTGGAGAGAGAAAATTGGAAAATTACCAAAAATCTCATTACGTTCAAGTCTAATTGAAGAATATTATTTCATCACACGTAATTCCTCACTGCAATTAAACCATTTCACAACTTGACTGCTGAATATTTCGTAGATTAAGATTCACCACAAGTATTTAACTCCTCGGTTTAATCATGCAATTTTTTACATATAGATTGAATAATAATCATAAAAATTGTTTCTATCTCTGAATAGTTTTAGCGTAGTGTTGAAATGGAGAAATTAAGATGACGTTTTCCTCTGGATTTATCGTATTGCAGAATGAAAACGTCAAACATATTGCGTCCATCGATGTCATTAGATTTAAAGAGAAGAAAACATAAATTATTAGAGAAAATGGGAGGGAAAAAAAAACTGGAAACCCGCGTTTGTCATGTGATTATTCAACCGGTGAATTATGAAAAGAAATTATAAAAAATTCGAATTTTACTAACAAAATGAATAGATTATATATGGATATTACCCAGCACGACTGGCTGAAGCGAAAAATAATAATTATTGAATGACAATTTTATATGCAATTAATAATATTACTTGTAATTCTTCCTTACAACGTTTATTGATTAATTAATGGATTATTGTTGATGTGAATGTTTTAAATTTAACGAATTTTTACGTCATTATATTTAAGATGATGCTTTTTATCGCCAATCGCTTCTTTCTTCAACGATTAAATTAAACGAATTAGGTGCTTCGTGCTACAATCGCATAAAGTATCGAGGTCGATTCTATTTCTATTTTTAAAATGAATACAACAAACAATCACATTAAAACAACACATACACATCTTACACATACCTCTAGACCTCTAGATCTGTTTTTTTATTGTAAATTTATGGGATTTTCGGAGTTGAGAGATAAATAACAAATTGAATATTTGTTTATAGAATGGTTTTCCTAAATCTTTCTATAGACGCAGGTGTACAGGATTTTTTCATTCGAAAATATATTCATAAATTAGAAAATCTGAGGATTTTTTGCTTACAAAAATTCAAATGAAGAAATTATCCTAAAAATATTTTCATAGATTTGTTAAATAATTTATTACCGTATGAATGATGTGTTATGTTCTGTAATGAATCAGTGAAATATTTCTGGAGTAAGAAAATAAGTAAAATCTGTCGCTAAAATTTTTATTTTTTATAAAAGAGAAAGGGGAAGGAGAAGTTATTCCGAATGTTGAAATATTTAATCAATACAATTCTTCCAATTGTTGAAGATTTCTTTTATCCGAAAGCGAACGTTTTCCTTTTTTTCCTCATTTTTAAAACTATTGGAGCAAGAAAAAATACTCCAAATCTAGATTTTCCAGTCGAGTTTCCCTGTCTACGTAATAAGCTAAATGTAACTTTTCTCCTTTCCATTGTAGTCCATCAAATCCGAAATCATTGATTCAAAAAATCATTTTCTTATCTTCTTATTCCACAAAATCACGTAACAACTAAAAGTAAATCCAGCATAATTGTCTTTTTTCTACGTATTTTTCTACTGTTTAAAATGTTTTTGTACCTTTCAATGATCAATATTAAGTCATGATAATCGATACGACGAGGATAGATTTTTTTTTTAGAAAAAAAAAAATCATTAACGACTTATAATGAATCAATTGAGTTCTTCCCTTAAAACATCAACACATAAAAATAAAACAATTCGCGCAAAAATATGAAAATTTAATATAAAATTAAATGTAAAAATAAAAAAAAAATGATTATATATTTTTTATCACCGTGTATCAACGTATTTTCATGATAGAAATAATTTGCGCATAAAAAGGGAACATACTGCGTTTATTAAAAGGAAAATTGAAGCACAGGAGGGGAAAGGTGTTTATCTATTAATAGAAAATCAAATCGCGATCGGTCGGTCTGATTTTTTTCTCGCACTACGCTTTTATCTCTCTCTCAAAATGTATAATTACCATTTAAATATCAGAGATGAAAAATATTAAAAAAACAATAATGGGTTTTGTACACCCTCACATTTTTATAAACAAAACATTGATATTAATTAAATCTCGCCCAATTGATCATTAAACACAAATTATTTTTAGATGATCAATTGATTTTTTTTTTTCGGTCTAGAGTTCAGGAAAAATTGAAATGTTTAAATAAATAAATTGTTGTCAATTTAGAGAGAATCAATTGTGAAATTGATTTGAGGTACATTTTGTTGGGAATGATTTTTAATTGTTTAAGAAGATTAATTGTTATTGATAATGAAATTGTTAATGAGAATAGATTTCATGTGGATAAATTGATTGTTTAAAAAATGTGGAGAATGTGATGGTGTGCAAAATTCCGGAAGAAAAACAATTGTCACAATGAAAATTCGGGGAATAACGAGATGGGGTTTTAATGGAGTGAGACAGTCAGAGTTTAATTAATTAGATAGAATAATGAATAAAAGGGAAAGGAAAAAAGGATTCAGAGGCTCTCGTCCGGATCAGTGAAAGCACCAAATCAATATTCACTGGTTATGGAATAGACTGACAAGGCGTTTTTGCTGTTCTGGACAGTAATTCAGAGCTAATTATTCATTTAATTACGATTATTAATGAAAATAGAAGAACAATTGAGGATTTAAATGAGTAATCACGTTGAAGTTTGCGTACTTAAGACCCGAACAGAGTCGTTGTTAAAATTTCGTGATAAAAATAAAGATTCATATAATAATGATTGATTTTGTTGTTGTTTTGTTTAATCCCGGATTTTTAGATTTAATTAAAAATTGATTCTTCATGGTCTGAGTATTTTTTTCAAATTATTGAATTGTGAAATTTTATTCTAAGTTTTAATAATAATGGGTAATTAGATAATTCTGTAATTATTGGGACTGTGCGATGGGTAAGTAGAGGTTTTAGTAATTAGTAATGCGTTTTAGGGAGCAATTACTTCGTTTTAAGAGAATTTGTTGGTAATTATTTAACGGGAACTTCTTTGTGCGTAAAGGAAAACATTGCAAAATCTTCTCACGTCGTTCGCATGGGGAAAATGTTTGCTATGTGGGTTTTTTTGGAGTGCCAGAAGCTCATAAACTAATTAAAATCTCTTCTAAGTTATATCTTGTGGGATTTTGATAAAAAAAAATATTCAATATGTCGAAAATATACTCCTAATGAAAAACTATGCTTAGAATGAGCGCGTTGCCTAGTGAGCAGCGTGCTTGCCTACCACGCCGACGGCCAGGGTTCGATCCCCCGTCGTCATTCATTTTTTTTTTTCAAAATAATTTCAATTTTATCTTTTTTTAATTGGTTAATCAATCTAAATATCATTTAAACACTGAATTTTTGAAAAGCGGAAAGATATCCTGTGAAATTGAAAATTTCGA